TAGTCTTCATGTATTTTTCTGCCCAATGCAGCCGTTTCTGCTTGTGAGCATTGGTTAGTGGTGGCCGAATAGAAGGTTTATGCACAGTTGCAAGACTCTGGAGGACTCTACACCTTGATGTCTGTGGGACTCCAGAGGCACCAGCAGCTTCAAATATCTGTTTGCTGTTATGTAATGGTATTTTAGCAGCTGCTCTCTTGATCCGATGCATGGATCTGGCAGAAATCTTCCTCAATGTGCCTTTATCTGCACAAACCCGTCTGTGCTTTGAATCAGCCACAAATCTCTTAATAGTGCAATGATCACGCTTTTCGTGAAATATCTAATGTTTTCATACTTCGTCCAAGGCATTGAACTATTTCACTCTTTTCGGCAGCAGAGAGATCCTTTTTCTTCCCCATATTGCTTGAAAATGGTGCTCTGCTTAATAATATGTAACACCCTCCTTTAGTAGTTTTTCCTTAAATTTCCTTAAATTGGGCTCACCGGCCAATCTTATTATCACAGGTGTCCGAGATTGTTTTCAGTGATCAAAAGAGCCCTGACACACAATGCCATCCATGAGTTAAACTGAAAAACAAAATATTTCATCTTTGTGACACTTAAATAGAATTTGCATAATAATTTGAAACAGGGTGTATAGGGATCAAAAAAGTTGTGGAAAAAAAGAAAAGCATTAATCGCTTAACTTTTTTGTAAAATAGATGTGATAATGTGATCAACATCTATAATATCGCGCTATTTGCAACTTAAATGTGTAAAAGCTGCCACTATTTATGAACCAAAGCACTTTTTGAAATAAAAAACCACCAAATATAGTGTTAAAAGTGGCGCTAAGTAAATATAAGTACAAAACCATATAATCATGAAATTCAATAATAACACAAATATGTGAAAAGTCTGATTACTGTAAAAATAATTGCAAACTAAAAAGTGATGGAAAGTCTATGAAAATTAATCTTCTATTTCACCATGTGCAGCAAACTGACAACTAAGTGCTCCATAGGATACCCCACATTGATGTAAGCTCACCAAAAATATTTGCCTTTCACTCTCGTGGTTGGCAACCAAGCTTCTTGGGACATAATTCCCATTTAAAGATGGATCACTGAAAATAAAGATTCCACTGCATCCAAATTGACCATGTAAAACAAACGCACGCTCCAATGGTGTATGAGCAAACAGATCCTTTTAAAAGTGATTGGACCTCACTCACACAAGAAAAATCCGTAAAACAAGCCCGTATAATAAATCCTCTGATAAGCCTGATGTGAACATAAACCACACAGGTGATCAAATACCACCGAAAGAAAGCTCAATTAATGGGAAAAGGAACGTAAATTTTATTTGGGTGCAGCATTGCATGACTGCGCAGTTGTCAGTTAAAGTATCACAGCGCAGTAACGCAAATTGCTTCTGTAACTGCTTCGTGGCCGCCCTATAGCAGAAATACTGCTACAGGGCGGCATGGGTGCGCAAAATCACATGTGTATATATATGTGATTCGCACTCCTGTGGTTTTCACGCTCCTCCCAGATAGCATCAGATTGCCAGTCAGTACACCAGTAATCATATTTAACCCCTTGATTGCCAGGAATATGCTCATACACAATAAACCTCCATTGCTAGTATAGTGTCTGAACGTATCAATATCTTTGATCAGATCAGCACTATATCAGCATTCACATTAGTATAGTGTCCCCAAAAACGCAGCGCTAGCGGGATCAGCCCCAGCACCTGCGTTTTAGCCCCTATGCTTACCCTCCTTCTCCCCCAGCAAGTGCAGTGTCAGTAGGTCACTGTCACTTGATACATTGCACACAAAACTGCAGTGTTTGCAGAATCAGCACCCATACTTCCCCCATTCACTGCCCAACTTGGAATTTAGGTGGAAACAGCAAATTTAACTACTCCCCTTGATTTTTTTTTTGGAGCTGTTTTTCACAGAAGATCTGTATGCATTGATTGTGGATTGAAGCAATTTATATGCACAACAATTTATCACCGCCAACCCAAATTCAAACCTTGCCAGACCATTTGCATGGAAACCCATTACGGTTTCCAAATTTACATTTTTTGGGGGGCCTAACCCTCAACATGGGCATTACTTAAAAAACAAAAAAAACAAAAAAAAAAAAAAATGAATTGCGGTTGTGTTGGTTCACAGACCCGATTAATCATATGCCGTTTCCTCTGCTCTCATGCAGGCATAGATATGAGAGTATGTGTTTTAAGCATTTAAACGACAATACACTGTCGTTCTCAAGGTGACCCTGAATTTGACCGGCTCCACAAAATTCTGCCTCTCGTAAAGCACCTTAACCAAAAATTTGCAGATGTCTCTTCTCCCCAGCAAAAAAATCTGCGTTGATGAGTCCCTCATTAATTTTTCTTGTCAGCTTGCATTCAAGCAATTTCTCCCCAGCAAGCGTGCCAGATATGGGGTCAAGATGTATAAGACCTGTGAGAGAGCAACAGGCTATACATATAAGTTTCGGATTTACAAGGGAAAAGATAGTCATGTGGAGCCCCCCAGATGTTCAGACTACATGAGAGAGTAGTGACAAGTTGGTTTGGGGCTTCGTGTCATCCTTTTTCCATATGGGGTATCACTTATACTTATTCTGGCGGAGATTTCTTCTCTTTTTCTTCATTCAGCCCACAGGCTGCATACAAAAAAAAAAAAAAAAAAAACCATAGCATATATACCCAACAAGGACCTAGCGACGTACTGGTACATCATTGGACTTTGGTTATACCAACATGATCATAAAGTTATATAAATAGCGCCATGGAAAAAAAATATATATATGAACCAACAAAGTGAACAAAATAAATTAGCCGCAAAAACCTAACCTATAAAAATAGGGTGCAAAAAGTATAAAAAACCAGGTTGCGCTAATAAAAAAGTTTACAAATGAATAAATAAAAATAAAATCATATAAAGTCCAAAATGATGTAATACGTGACAAATTAAGGAGTGTTCAACAAATATCACCAGAGTGAATCTGCCACCAAATGAATTGAATGAACTCACCAGAGCAATATACTGATCACATTATAAATCGGCATAAAGTGCTTTCTGCTCTGGGAGCAATGATCTGCAAATTGGTGAGGCAACACTAGGAACTTGATATCTGGTCCCCAGGGAGCAATACTCTGCAGGGAATGCCTACCATATGGATCCACTTCAATTATAAACCACCGAATCCTTAGGATGATCAGACCTCCACTCGAAATATGCAGTAAAGGAATAAAAAGTCATGGTGCAGTACTTCATAAAACTTCAGATTTAATAAACCACATTGCACTTACAAGAAACGGTGTCTTAGCCGACACCAGCACAAACGGCAGGATGAATTTCACCAACACGGACCCAGCCTGGCTGGGCATGCACCGTACCAGCGACTTGGGAACGTCCTGATGTCACATCCAAAAGCTCTGCCCTGCGCTTTTTGTCATCGACGTCCTCATGGAGCAGGTGGATGTGAGACGTCAGACCTTCATTAAATATTCACTGCACTCAAAGCGGACAGCTGACATTAACGAGGGTTCATGCAAACCGCATGATACCTCTGTGACAAATCGCCACCGCATACATATATAAGTAATATTATACTAATAAAAGCAATATGACAGATAACGGGGGATAAACATAAATGAGGCTTATAATGAAGGGCTATCTGTACAAAATACCAATAACAAATACTTAAAAGGGCCAGTACATACTTAAAGGGGGACTCTACTGATCATAAAAAATGTTCCCTTAGTATATATCAAAATACAGAAATATCTTTAAAAATTTGTGAGAAAGCAGTTTAGGTTGATATCCATATTCAACCTATTAGGTTACAAAGAATTTAATTCATAAATCCAGTATGTTTCTTTTCTAGAAATTTAATTGATTAAATCAGTACCTCTCCAATGTGGTTAAAAAAAACTTGTGGAATAAAAATAAATCTTCCATGGACTCAATATGTTTCTCAACAGATAGCTTAGGGTGTCTACTTTCTGAAAAAGGGGTCAGTTGGGGGTGTTTGTACTGTCCTGGTATTTTAGCACCACAAGAAATGTGATTGGCAGTCCGAAAGTAAAAGCTATGTAAATTTCATTATCTATGCCATAGCTTGTAGATGCTATAACTTTCACACAAAGCAATCAATATACACTTATTGGGATTTTTCAACCAAAAACATGTAGCAGAATACATTTTGGCCTAAATGTTATAACTAATTCGAGTTTTTTGAATTTTTTTTATGACAGAAATGAGAAAATGTCGTTTTTTTGTTTTTTTTTCTCCAAAACTTTTGTTTATAGCGCCAAAAAAAAGTTCACAGGTGATCAAATACCACCGAAAGAAAGCTCTACTTGTGTGAAGAAAAGGGTGTAAATTTTCATTTATGTACTATATTGCATGACTGCGCAATTGTCAAATTATTGCAGCTCTGTACAGCAAAAAAAAAGTGTAAATTGCAGTATCTATACCATAGTTTGTAGACGCTATAACTTTCACACAAAGCAATCAATATACACTTATTGGGATTTTTTTTTTTTTTTTTTTACCAAAAACATGTAGCAGAATACATATTGGCCTAAATTTATGACTGAGTTTACTGTATATTTTTTTATAGCCGAAAGTAAAAATAACGTATTTTTCTTTAAAATTTTCAGTCTTTTTTTTGTTTATAGCGTGAAAAATAAAAAGTGCACAGGTGATCAAATATCACCAAAACAAAGTTCTATTTGTGTGGAAAAAAAAGGACGTACATTTCGTTTGGGTGCTGCATTGCATGACCGTACAATTATCAATTGAAATAGTGCAGCACCGAATAGCAAAAAGAGGCCTGGTAATTAAGGGGGATAAATCCTCAGGATGGCAGGTGATTAAAAAAGTGTGTGTGTAAAAATGTACATCATTTTTCAGAGTACAGTTAGGAGCATCATTCACTTGAAGGCAACTGTGTGTGTATATATAATATATATAAATTTTTTTTTTACAGAATGGATGTTCTGAAGAAATATGCAAATGAAATCGTGAATGTTTCCACAAAAGATGGTATGTTGCATTAAAAGCTATCTATTGCATTTGCCTATGTAAGTGATCAGTTTAGTTTTTCTTTTAACATGGGACAAATCACGTGCAGTTGGGTAAAGGATAAACTGAATGAATGATTCCAATTTTTCTTTAACGTATATCACTTGCCACAGAGCAGGCTATTCATGACTATATAGGTTATATGTCAAGTATAGTTGAATGGACACTGGCAGATCAATCAAGCAGGAAGTCCTCCCCTATATAGCCCCTCCTACACAAACAGTACCTCATTTTTTTTTTTGCCAGTGTCTGTGGGGTGGATGGTCACTGATGTGCTCTTTGCGCATACCTGGAGGTCAGAAATAGTTCTTTTGTGAATCAAGGATTGCAATCTGATCCATTTCGGAATGCTGTTGCCCGGGGGGGGCTCTCGTACAACTGTTTTCTGATGCATCTCTGCACAGGTATCGGTGCGCTTATAGGAGTTGTTGCTCCAGAATAGCTAGCATTTGATCTGCAGAAGCTTACATTAAGACTGCACTGAAGCAGCATAGAGGCTGCGTTTGCATATGTGCTTGGCTAGCCTTGCGAAATTTGTATGGGGCCAAGTGCAGTTAAATTTTGACAGTGCTTTGATGAAACAATACGCTTATAGAATGCAGGGCAGTTGCAGCATTGTATTATATTATTGCATGCATACCTGCCTAATTATTTGAACTACATACTTCCATATTCATACTTGAATGCATAAACTGCATACTTGCATGCATACTTACATGCACAAACTGCATACGTAACTGGGGGAATATCACTGCATACTCTGAATGTAGTTTGGGTGGTGAGGATTTAAATGAGTTTGGCAGCACAGGTCAGGAATCCTTGTTTGTGCTGCCAGAAGGGCAGGCGGCATCCAGGTCACCTATTTCTCATTAGATCCGCCAGTTAAAGTGAAGTTTCACCCAAAAGTGGACGCTCTGCTTATCTGCCCCCCCCCCCCCCCCCCCGCTGCCACATTTGCCACCTTTTGGGGTGGGGGGGAAGGGGGTACCTGGTTTTGACAGGTAATCACTTCCTGGGGCTGCAGTGCAAATACAGTGGGAAACCAGCTGTGACGCTGCAAAGCTTCACTGCCAGTTTCCCTTAGTCAAGTTAGCAGTGCCAGCACCCGACAGCCGATTGAAGAATCCTCTCGGGTATTTGTAGCTGCTGACTTTTTAGGAGAGGAGGGGTTGGGGCCAGAGCGCCGCTTTAATCATTCAAGCCTATGGTTTGAAGAATAAAGTCACACCGTTTCGGATTAGAGCACACTCTACCAGGAGCATGGGGGCATCTTGGGCTTACCGCCATATCAGGTGTCAATGGCTCAGGTTTGCAAAGCCGCTACATGGTCTTCAGTTCATACATTCACAAGGTTTTACCAGGTGGATGTCAGAGCCGTGGAGGATTCTACCTCTGGCCGCAGCTTGTCACATATGGCTGAGTAGGACCTTTGGGCTTGATGGTGGTTATCATGGTGTCACCCACCCCCCAGATTTTTTTTTTTTTTTTTTTTTTTTTTTACTGTTTTAGGACATACCACATAGTAAGTGGATATAGATAAAAGAAAATTAGATTTTTTTTTTTTTTCCCTACATACTTTGAAAAATCCATTTCTTGGAGTATCACAGGACACAGAGGTTCCTTGCCTCTTTGTGGAATTTCATTGCTTGATACACAAACTGAAGTACTAGCAGAGGTTATATAGCGCAGGCCTTCCTGTTTTGATTGTCCATTCGCCTATTGGTGGCATTATAACCCACCTTATGTATTGCCTGCTCTCTGTTCTGTGATGTAGTCCAAGAAATGGATTTTATAGGTAAGTATGTAGAAATAAATCCAATTTTTGCTGCTGAGAAGTATAAGGTGGCCGGGGGTGCTAAAAGCAGGTGGTTGAGCAGCGATTTTTACCATCCCCTAGCTGCCCACCTAAACAAAGGCAGGCAGCCACTGATGCTCCACAATTACATGCCAAGGCCATAATGCATTGCTTCGCATCCAAGGCATTGGCTTCGCATGCCTACGACCAAGGCAAAAGGAAACCGTGCATAGCATTTTGTGGGTGGTACCCCCATGAACATGACCCAGTCAAGTGAATAGGTTTGAGTTGAAACTGCTCTGTAATGCATGCAGTTGCAGGGTGGTGTCAGCATTTTGAGGGTTAAAACCGGTGTGGAGTAAGCAACATTTCATCTCCTCATTACCTTAAACATCACCTGAAAAGCGGGGGCAGCAGGTGATGTTTAGACAGCAGTACTTGTGAATGAGCCCTAAAGTGCATCTAAACCCCAAAACAAAGTACTTAGATTTCTGCATTAGATTTATTTTTATTTTGTTCCCCCTTTTAAGTAAGGGAGGGTTATAACCCCTGTCAAATTTTTTTTTTTTCGCCATCTGTGTCTCATTGTGGAGATTTCCCTTCACATCCTGTCACATAGCCAAACAGGAAGTGAGAGAAAATCCCTGCAAATTAAGGGGAATTCCCTGGGGAAGCAAATTGTTTAATGTAAAAAGTGAACAAGTGCAGCTTTCATATGAAATATATGTAATGTGTAAATATACAAAGTTCACAAAAAGTATATATGCATATATAAATGGATCTCGTCAATAAAGTGCAAAAAAATAAATACCACAAAGTGACAAAAATGGGTGATTTACATAAAGTGCTCAAATAAAGAGAATGTCCAAAATAGACTCTTCATAAGTAACAGTTCATCTGTGCAGACAATCAACCAGTGAAAATTCCCTGGGTGACTCCTCCACCACTATGCACTCACCAGAATTGTAAGCATAATCCCGCCCAGTACTTATAGTGACCTCCGGAAAACACACCTCTTCCCAGGTGCTACCACAGACGACTGGCAACCCTGCAATAGGTAGCTCACCACACGGAGCCCAAATTTCATCTCATGGTGTAGTATGTTTAAACCAGCTAGGTAAAACAATATGTGAACAAATGCTCCACGTGGAACAAACCTAAAAACCGCCAGCAGTCAAACTTATTCAGACGGTCGCCGTTCCAAGCACAGGATACGGCGTGGTGACGTCAGATCGTAAGGCCCCTCCCTACGTGTTTTGTGCACCAGCACGTCATCCGTGGATACACCTACTTGTTAAATTGTTTAATGTATGGCCAGCCTAACACACTAAAAAGGGACTAAAGAGAAATGTGTTTACATATACTTTCACCACTTGGTGGCTGTTACCTTATTAGGCTAGGCTACCCTGGAGATTTTTAGCAACTTTCTTGTGCTTCTATCACCAGTGCAGCTTTTCCTTGATGTATTTCAATTACTGAACTTATCACTACTACTGAATGTACTTATGATTTTTTCATCAGTGTACCCAGTTCAAAGTATTTTACTGGGCAGTCATTAACACAACACAACTTAACACCCAACTTAAACTTAATTGCAGTGTGCTAAAGGAGAAGTATGGCTAAAGCTCTTTTGTCCCTACTTCACCTACTGTCGGCAGATGTCACTCAGCTGGTCTAGGCTCTGAATCGATCCTGCCTTTACAGTTGGAATCCACCAAGGTGTCTGGATTGGCCACTGGCTCAGCCTCACAGTGAGCTGCTTAGAGACTGAGCCAGCTGATGCCGCCACCATCACCACCACAACCTGGCGCTCCAGACTGTGTTGGGAGGGCAGAGCAGAGAGGTAGTGACTGACAGCAAGTCTATCTACTGTATATCAGAAGTGAGTACACCCCTCACATTTTTGTAAATATTTTATTCTATCTTTTCATGTGACAACAGTGAATAAATGGCACTTTGCTACAATGTAAAGTAGTGAGTGTTCAGCTTGTATAACAGTGGAAAGTTTCTGTCCCCTCAAAATAACTCCACACACAACCATGTGTGTGTGTGTGTGTTTAAATATTTATATATATTTATTTTTTTATTTTAAACTTTTCTTTCCTTTTATTTATAGGATGCAAAGATGATGGGATAACAGAATTAGAGGTAATGTATTAGCTTTGTTTTGACTGATAGACCTACACATTGTTACAGAAAACTTTTCAGTGGTCTGCTTCTTACATTGGGGGGTCCCCATCAGTGGTCCACTCTTACATCGGGGGATCCCATCAGGGGGACCCTCATCAGCGATCCGCCTTTATCCTTACTTACAGTATTAGTGTGGCAAGAGGTGGAACAGGTATGGGCAGAGGAACTAAAGTCATCCTGCTGGGGCAAGCACGTCATTGTCTTTCTAGGATGCTGGAGTTCCTAGCAACAATCTGATCTGACTTAGAGAGTGCATTGAGGGGAGCCTCACTCTGCTGGGGCAAGCAAAGTGCAGTTGCTTTGGCTCCTGTTGTCCTAACAACCAATTGATGGGATAGCATCTCAGTAGGGGGATAATAAAAATGGAGGTGATGTATTATCTTTGTTTTGGCTGATCGATCCTATTGTCCTAAAGCAAACATCAGACATCCACAGTTACATCAGGGTGTCCATCAGTGCTCTGCCCTTACCTCGCTTACAGCATAGCTGTAATCGATGTGGCAGCAGGACAGGGGCTGGAAAGCAGAGCTGGTATGGGTGAAGGAATTTCCATCCTATTGCTAGAGCAAGAACATCATTTGCTTTCTAGGATGCTGGCAATCCTACCAACCATATGACTTGGAGAAAGACAGACAGTGCAGTGAGGAGGATCTTGCCATGCTCAGGCAAACACAGTATAAATTGCTTGGATTGCTGTCCTAGCAACTAACTGATGGAATGATTATTGTCTCACGGTTATATTGTAAAGCCCTGAGCAAACTGTTGGCGCTATATAAATCCTGTATTATAATAATAATACGGTACAGTGAAGGGATCCTGACCCTAGCTGCAGACTGAATGCAGTAGAGACATACGCATATAATATCTATAACTCATTACATGTGGGGCTTTAACACTTGTATTGCCACTGCTGTATGTCATACGCCGATGGAAGTGAGGAGATTTTACACTTGCAAGCCGACTGCCAGCTTTCTGTGACCCCCCTGGAGCAGCTGTGCCTTCCTTCCCTTACTATTTTGTCCCCTTTTGTGATTGATAAATACAATTTTAGTGAAAAAGTGTCAAAAAAAAAAAAAGTTACACCCAAGCACTTGTAAAACCCCCTCCAACAAATATTTTGAGCCCGCCCCACATACAAATACATATAAGCGCAATCAAACTCGTTGGGTGCTTCTTTATATGAAAACATTGCTTGCCCTTCACATGTTACATGTGAAAGAATTAACTCTGAGTCCATTATTCATGGTTAGCTCTAAAGTGATGACCTGTAGGGGCGGTTAAAGCATTGCCTATGAATAATATAGGGTACCAAAGTTTGTTGTCGGTTTGTGGTTGTGTTCAGTTTTACAGCTTGACATGTTTGTTGGTTTAATTAGTGCAGCCTCATCTTTTATATTTTACCAAAAATTAAGCTATACTGTGTATTTCATGTGTGTCTTATAAAAGGAACTTTAGTATAATTTTATTTTTTTACTGAAAATTTGCTCTTGATAGACTTTTTCGCAAATTTTATGTGATATAAAAAAATTGGAACCACAACTATTTTATTCGCAGGGTGTCTTCTTTCAGAAAATTTATAATTTGGGGGGTTTTAACTAATCTTCAAGTAAAATTTTACCGTGCAGAAGCATGCAAAAATGGCTCTGGCATCAAATGGTTAAGGGTTTCAGAATATCAGAGTAAAATATTTGGTTTTTTTTTACACTTTATTTAAATAAGATGTGAGGGGTTGTAAAATCAAAAAAACACTCACTTCTATACTGCAGTATTGGTTTGATGCTGAAGCTGTTCCCTGCCAGCTCTAAGCCTGAGAACTGATCGGTCACATAACTTCTAATCATTCAGTTCTCGATCCACTTAGAGTGGAGAGCAGTTAATGTTAGTAACTGCTGTCTGGCCTGCCACTGCAGCGCTCATTGGAGTGCCTGTGCTGGTAAGGGAATGGGTGCAGCTGGCTTTGGGTCTCCGCCACAAACTGAGAGCCAGGGCCAGTTTTCAGTCAGGCAGCTGGGTGGATTCTGACAATATGGTCAAGATTTTCCAGTCTGGAGCAGTTCTGACATGACAGTTGGATCACAGGAGAGCAACTGATACATGTCAGTCACTTTGTTTCTCATCAGTTCTTGAATTTCTTTAGGTCACGGCATGATGTGTTGCTTTTTGAGATTTTTTTAGCGTGCTTCGCTTTGTCAGACGACTTAAATCATTGATTCAACAGGTCTGGCAGTAATCGGATCTGGGTGTGGCAAGGTAAAATTTAACTCGACTTTCCAAAAAATTTGATTAATTACAATTCGTTCATGATTTAGCGAGGGGGGCAATTGATTTTTCACTTAGGGCCATGCAGGTTTGGACAGCTTTTTTTCCTTTAATAAATTGAATCCTCATTTAAAAACTGTATTTTGTACGTATTCTGATCATCTTTATGTAATATTAAAATTTTGATGATCAGATTATTTAAATGTGACAAATATGCAAAAAAAAATATTCAGGAAGGAGGCAAATACTTTTTCACAGCAAAATAGAGAGAGAGAGAGATCTCAAAAAAGTAAAGGAATACTTTGAAAACACATCAGATCTCAATGGGGAAAAATATCATGCTGGTTATCTGTACTGATATGGACTGGGTAATGTGTTAGGAACGTAAGGATGCCCCATCGTTTGATGGAAATGAAAATTATCAACCTACAGAGAACTGAATTCAAAGACACCCCGAAAATCAAAGTGAAAAAATGATGCAGCAGGCTAGTCCATTTTGCTGAAATTTCATTGCAGCAACTCAAAATAGTACTCAGTATTTTGCATGGCCCCCACATGCTTGTATGCATGCCTGACAACTTCGGGGCATGCTCCTAATGAGACGACGGATGGTATGCTGGGGTATTTCCTCCCAGATCTGGTCCAGGGCATCACTGAGCCTCCTGGACAGTCTGAGGTGCAACCTGGCAGTATCGGATGGACTGAAACATGATATTCCAGAGGTGTTCTATTGGATTTAGGTCAGGCGAGCGTGGGGGCCATTCAGTGGTATCAATTCCTTCATCCTCCAGGAACTGCCTGCATACTCTCACCACATGAGGCCAAGCATTGTCCTGCACCAGGAGGAACCCAGGACCCACTGTACCTGCTTAAGTTCTAACAATGGGTCCAAGGATTAAATCCGGATACCTAATGCAGTCAGGGTGCCATTGTCTAGCCTGTAGAGATCTGTGCGTCCCTCCATGGATGTACCTCCCCAGACCATCACTGACCCACCACCAAAACGGTCATGCTGAATGATGATACAGGCAGCATAATGTTCTCCACGGCTTCTCCAGACCCTTTTACGTCTGTCACATGTGCTCAGGGTGAACCTGTTCTCATCTGTGAAAAGCAGAGGGTGCCAGTTAATTTCATTAACACCAATGCAGCTGAAACTGATTAACAACCCCTCCTGCGGCTTAAATGACTTGATCAATATCCCAGGCAATTAATTGACTTGATGCTATACTCTGACTAAAAAGTGTTCCTTTAGTGTGTGTGTGTCAGTCATCTCTATTCTCAGCTGCATAAGGGGGTTGGAGAGCTAGGGGTTGAGAAGCAACAATACATTGATCTTCACAGTAAATAGCTTTGCTGTGGGTGGGTGGAGGCTGTCAGCATAAGTCTAATCATAGGACAGCCAGGCTGTTCTCCCAGTACCGCCAGAAAACTGACCAAACTCAAATAGATATGCTCTCATGACTAGCTTGGTCAGTTTGAAATAGGAGAGCTGGGAGGCTGGCAGGTATTTCACACAAAGGAAGCAATACAAAGAGAACAGGATGCATTTAACACAAGTATAAGATACAACAGTCACATCAGAAATCTGAAATTTTGAGTTAACATATTCTTTAGTGGTAGTTCCAGTTTTTTTATGTCATACTATTTTAGTGAAGTGGTTTACAAAATGCAAAATTTCAGTTAGAGTTAATTTTAGGGCACATAAACACAGTTTGTTACACAATTTTTGCTCCAAGTAAATACCCAACATGTCAAGTTTTACAATTGCTTGCACCCATAAAACAAAAAACTTTGGTACCCTATATTTTCCATAGTTGCTCCTTTAAAAGCCCCCTACAGGTCATCAATTTACAGTGAACACTGAATAATGGACCTAGAATTATTGCTCTCAATCTTGCTTGCCTGGCAATATATAATATTTAGCGCAATCACTACTTTTGTGCATAGATGCCCCCAATACCTGCACTTATGTCTGTATGTGGAGGGGGGGGGGGGGCACTCAGGGTTTTGAGATTTTAAATACTTGGGTGTAACTTTATTACTTGTGATGCGGTGATTTTTCTGGTGACAGGTTATCCTGATAACTCACCTGTCTTCAAATTAAACTAATGCAGTGCATATTGCATTGCATTAATTTATTCCCCAGCCATACCTACAGCACATCTAGAAAGTATTCACAGTGCTTATTTTTTGCCACATTTTGTTATGTTACAGCCTTATTCCAAAATAGGTTAAATTAATTTTTTTCCCCTCAACATTCTACAAACAATACCCCATAATGACAACGTGAAAGAAGTTAGTTTTGAAATCTTTGCAATTTATTAAAAATAAAAAAACAAAAAAAAAGACATGTACGGAAGTATTCACAGCCATTGCTCAATCCTTTGTTAAAGCACCTTTAGCACCAATTACAGCCTCAAGTCGTTTTGAGTATGATGCTACAAGCTTGGTACACCTATTTTTGGGCAATTTCTCCCATTCTTCTTTGCAGTACCTCTCAAGCTCCACTCTACCATACAGACCTGATTGGTGGAGCGCTGCAGAGATGCTTGTTCTTCTGGAATGTTCTCCTCTCTCTACAGAGAAATGCTGGAGCTTTTTCAGAGTGACCATCAGGTGCTTGGCTACCTCCCTGGCTAAGGCCCGTCTCCCTTGATTGCTCAGTTTGGCCTGGCAGCCCGCTCTAGGAAGATTCC